CCCCTTGATAACCTCCCTGGTAGCCATCATTGCCATAGCCATCATATCCCTGAGCATATCCCAGATTGTTGGAGCCGTAGTTGTTATTAGTTCTGAACCAACGACCCCGCGGTTGATGATAACGGTTCCGATTGCCGCCATAATTCAGATAATTAGTATCGTCTTTGGTTTTGGATTTTAAAAATAAATTTATATTAGATTTTATTCAATTTTAATATTAATTACAGATATAACTTACAATTGTTGCCAATTCTATGGAGAGGCAATACTTTGCAATCAATGGTTTGTAATAAAACCATTGACATTATCACTATAATAACTGATAAACTTATTATAGCCATTTTTGTAATATTAGTTTTACAATTATGTGATGTTAATCTCTAATGGTTTGTAAACTCTTTTATAAATACTTCTAAAACAATGTAAATTTTGTTTATTGTGAAACAATGTGTTCAGCTGAACTTCAACTTAATAATATTTGATGTATTTTTCCAAAACATAAATCTGCCGGCAATTCAAATAATTGACATCACATTAGCTTAATTAAGGAATAATGTAAAAATGTTATTATAATATACCTCTATGAAAGTCAATAATTTTCTAAAAATGTACGAGAGACAAAAATTAATTAAATATTTTTATATTTTCAGTAAAAATCTAAAAGGTCTTAATTTTCATATTGCTTACGAATATTTCAATATAAAAGATTTTGTAGTTATGACATTTTAGATTTTTACTCAAAATACCAAAGTATTTAATGAATTTGTTGTCTCTCATATAGTTTCACATGTATTTTGTAATATTTATTAATGAAAAATAAATGTAAATCACACGCAACGGTAATTGTTTTTAAGTTCATTAGATCTCAAGTGCTGTACATTAAGTTGTATGATATATCCGTTTCAACAGTGATTTATTTTTAATTTTCTATTTATTCAGTAAATATTTTTAACAATAATTTATTAATTCAATCACCTTGATTTAGGATGTTATTTTGCACTAAACATTCAGTAAATATTTTTAATTACAAATATATAAATAAAATTTTTATTTTTTAATTATGTATATTTATTGTAATATAATTTTTTTTCATATTATGCTAACGATTGGGAAAATTGAGAAACTTTATCAAAGTTTACGGTATGTTGTTGTAGCCATGGAGCAAATTGTTTGGAAAGGGATGAAAATGTCATTATTAGACATCAATTGTATACCAAATTAAAGCATCAGAATATCAGTTGCGATAAAAACATAATTATTTTGTGTTATGTTTTCCCGTATATAACAGGGCTTAGAGAATCAAATATAAGCTAAACAAATGACACAATTTCTTGTGATTTCATTTGATATACTGTTACACTAATACCATAACCCATGTTTGATAAGGGAGTCTAAATTGGTATTACTTTTAAGAGATGCTTAGAGAATCAAATATAAGCTAAACAAATGACACAATTTCTTGTGATTTCATTTGATATACTGTTACACTAATACCATAACCCATGTTTGATAAGGGAGTCTAAATTGGTATTACTTTTAAGAGAGGCACTCAATTCTGGGCGATATTGCTATTTTTGAAATGATAATTTATAGCACTTCTCAATATTTGTGAGATTTACCCATAAAATGCTGACAACAAGACTCACCAAAGAGATCCCTCACTCGATAATAGAGAGCACATTGAAATCAATTTATATTGTTTTATAGATATTTTAAATCAAGTAATTGTGTTTTACCGGTAATATCATTACAGTACAGTACATTAAGTTTTATAATTTATGTAATTTGCTTTTCCTGTTTAGAAATTTCAAAAACAGTTGAGAAAATAATTTATACTCATAGAAAACTATTACTGTTTCTAAAATTTAAATGTTTTATTAAAATTAAAAATACTTATACATCTTAATCAAAATGAACTAAATTTCATACTCTATAAAATTGTAGATATTTTGCTTTTCATGTGAAAGATTTTATTATTAATCTTTATAGTCGTGAGCAAAGAGCTGTACTAAACCACGGATTTCTTTCAAACTCGGAGCTCATAACCAGTGATGAACTGAATGATAAAAATTAAATAAATAATTTAGCTATATTCATTAATTTGGTGCAAATAATGTATGTATAAAACAATTAACTGCTTACTTAAGCGAGAGAACAGTAATTCCTTGCCGTTTCATATCAGATGCCAACCCTTTAGTGAAATAATCGACCGCAGATTCAGACACACAAAATGGGAATTCAGATTCATACTAATCAGATCAAATATTTTAACATTAATCAATATTCAAACAATTTTCAAGTATAAAACAATAAAAATTTAACATTCAATTTGATTTAAAGTTAAAATTCTCAAATAATATGAATTAAAATTTCATTTAAATTATTTGACTTTTAGATGATAATTTATTAAAAATTAATTGTATATCTCTTTCTCACAATTTAGTTGTAAGTACTGTACTTACCGGCAATAATCCGGAGTCCGAAGTCAGCGTTAGAACCGCACCTTTAGTGGACAGTAGGTGTGGAATAGCCAGTCGTGTTATGACCACAAGTGAGCGCACGTTTGTATTGAAGACCCGTTCAAAAGTATCCATAATATTGGCATCACTTATAGAACAGGGGACTGTTATCTGGACGCAATTGGCCAACACATCCAGCCGTCCAAACTCTTCAATCGTCTTTTGGATCAGTTTCTCTACTTCTGTATCATTCAGAAGATCCGCTTTGATTTCAAGTACTTTCTCTTTAGACAATTGACGGCACTCTTCAGCCACTTCTTTGATTTTCTTCTCATCTCTTCCGGTGATAACCAATTTGAAGCCTACTTTGGCCAAAGAGAGGGCGAATTTCTTGCCCACACCTGCACTCGAGCCTTACCATCAATTTTAATGAAAATACAAATTAATTTAATTTATATAACTTATGCAATAATATACAACACAAACCAGTAATGAGTGCCACTCTATCCCCAAACTTATAAATTAGTTTTCTATTTCTGATCATGGTTAGTTTATGATATGATATGCCACTCGTTTAAATAAAATGAGAAACTGTAAGTTTATTAATAAAACAACATGAAAAATTTCTTAAAGTGTAGACAGAATTAAAATTTATTTTAAGAAGTTACACGTAAGGCAAACTTAAATGCAAAAAACCATTATATTTATATTTATTATTTCCTTCTGTTTAAAAAGTTATTTTTATGACATTTTTTATAATTAAATCATTTACAAGAAATGTTTATCATTTGTTTCATCATAAATTTTTATCATAATATTTGTATTATAAGCTAATTTTTAGATTTTTAAAGTCTTGACCTGGGACCAACGATGGATCCACCATCGATCGGTATTGATATACCGGTTATAAAACTGGAGTTATCTGACGCCAAAAAATCTATAACCTTTACAATGTCCTCGACATAGCCAGGTCGTTTCAATGGGTACATAGACTCGCAATACATTATAGCCTGTTCATCACTAAACGATGATTCACCGATCATTGGGGTTAAGATAATGCCCGGTCTAAAATGATAAAACTTATTGTTTTAATATGTTTGAATTTCAATATTATAATTGCTTACAGAATAGAGTTGACACGAATGCCTTTGGGTCCCAACTCCATGGCCATGCATTTGGTCAAATTATCCAGGGCACATTTGGTTAAGCCATATGCTGTCCACGATCTCCTCCACTGTTTATACATTTTCAATTAAAATACAATAATATTTCAAATCATTAGTCAGACCGGAGTTTGTGCTGAAATACTGGATACGTTGACAATACACCCTTTGCTGGCCTCCAGATATGGCACAACCAGTGATATGAGTGATACAACACTCCGTAGATTCACGCGAACTATTCGGTCAAACAATTGCTGGTATTCCGGATCCATTACACCACTCCGACCCACAATACCGGCGCAGTTGACAAGTATATCAATTTTGCCAAATGTGTCGATAGTTTTCAGCACCAAATCTTTCACGTGTTTATCGTCTTGAAGATCAGCCACAACTGCCAACACATTTGCAGAAGTTTTAGCCACTTGTCGGCACTCGTGTGCCACAGCGGCCACTCTTTTTGCATCCCTTCCGTTCACCACTACTTTTGCACCCAATTTAGCAAAATGAACGGCAGTTCCCGCACCCATTCCTGAACTCGACCCTTCATATAAATAATTGCATTAAATCTCAATAAATTATTTATTTTTTATAAATACCTGTAATGATAGCAACTTTATCATCGAAACTACTTGCAGTAAAGTTATATTTGATTGAATTCATTTTTATTGATCAATCTCAATAATCCTTTAAAATTCAATATTTTTATAATACATTATCGCAATACACAGTAAACAAGACATCCACTCAAGTCTTATGAAATGAATACATTTTATTTGAGAAGAATTTCCACTTTTTTCATAATTTAATTTTAAAATATAATGACAAATAAGAGTTGTATTTTACATTTATTGTGTTAAGTATTTCCTTAAAATATTTATCAAATATGCTTTAAAGGAAAACATAATCTATTAGTTTATTAGAGGTGTTTAAATTTTAATTAACAGTAATGTTAAATATTATCAACTCATTACATTTAATATAAGTAATGTTAAAGTTATACACTGTATTTATACTTTACAAACCCTTTATAATTTTTATCATACAGAATTTTGTTTCTAACTTAATAGTTCAAAAACAAATTATAGAATATTTAAATATGATAATAATACTAAAATTAATATGGGACTAAACATCAAATATTAAATCTAACAGACAAAATACAACAGGCATTATCCATTTCCCAAATTGGTTGACACGATGTTTGTTAACCACATATAAAAGCATTTCTTCTTTTACTATTGCTTTCGAGATATTAGTCTTATTGAGTAAATTATGATCATTAATATTGCCCTTCAATTGTGATGAATAGCTATCAAAAGTAAATAATTGCGAAAATTTAATTTAAATGTGCACATAATAAAGCTAGTTAAAGTTATCAAAAATTTTATGCCATACCTGGGATACAAAGCAATAGTATAAATAGTTGTGGTCCAATTATAAATTTGAACATCACTAGTATTATTAGTGTGATCTATTAGTTGAGTTGAATTCAAGTGGTCATCCCATTGATTACCAGTAGGTTTGTCATAACCAAACCTATTTGTCTGAACTTTTCCCGTTGGCCTACGGGTATGATCGCTAGGACGTCGAGTTACACACACAACACATCCCAATACTAATAAAAGTGTAATTATGATTGCATTTGATATTATGGCCAAGCTCATTATTCTAGTTTTATTTTTGCTTAATAGTTTCATTAATCATTAGTCATTAATCAATGTTTATATTTTCTGTCGCTTATTTTTATCAATACTCAGAAGTCTGTAGTACCGTATGTAGTTACTATTCACATTAAATATAAATAAATTTTAAATTTAGTTAATTTTGTTGGATAGCTTCATCTTAATTGGTGGTGAATATTAACGATATAACTTCGGTAAAAATCGATACAACTATGGATTTAAACTGATAGTTGTATCATTAAAAGTGCTCGTGGTTCATTGATCAATACACTTATATACAAGTATTATTTCCAATGGCTTTTCCCTTTTATTACTTTAAATGATAATTGAGTGATGAGTTGACACACCGTCTAATCACACATTTGGAAATTACAACTTTTTATCTTTATTTTCAATTAATTCATACAATTATATTCATTATAAGTATTTCTTCAGACATCACTCACATATTCATTGAAAATATTGCATTTCAAGTCTATCTGTAATACAGTATTATTAATAATATTATTATCATATTTCTAATTATACGATAATTTTAAAAATTATTTACTATAAGTTTATTAAATATTAGGCAGTGTTAGTAAACGTAAGTTATTTAATAAGTAATATGTTAGGAATACTGTATATTAATTAAAAAAGTTTTGGTTTGGATGAGAAAATAACCTGAAAACAAATTATTCATAAACTGTTATAAACATAAATTCATTATGACAATTATAACTAATACGATATATTTATAGTTTACTCTCACCTGTAATAAATTGGTGAAATAGCTGTTGAAATCATATTAGTTGTAATGGGTATAGGAATTAGATGTTGAGTTGAATTTATCAGTGATTGAGCATTATAATTATTATTATTATAATTGGTATTATAGAAATAGTTTGGTGTTGTCCTGGTCAATCTAACGGGATTAGTATTTCGGTACTGAGAACCACTTGAATTGTTATAACCGGTAGTCGGACGTCTTGTTACACATAATATGAAACTCAGTTTAAGTATTAATACAAGAATTGTATGCATTTTGTTGTATTTGGAAATTATTTTCATATTCATGTCCTGTTGAGTGTTATGTTTAACAAAATGAAAAAAAAACAACTTTTGTATGAATTGGTAAAATCAAAAAAAATATATTTGCATAAATTGATAAAATTTGATGGCAACCTAAATGCTATATTGACTATAAATAAAATTCAATGA